TAAAATGGTGCAACCCCTGTGGAAAGCAGTATGGCGCTTTCTCAAAAAGTTGCAAATAGAGATACCATTTGACCCAGCAATTCCACTACTGGGAATAGAGATCTCAGAATCTTGATTGCTAGGCTCCGCTCTGAGGAGCATGTTGTAGGAGGGAGGATCTCTCCCTTGAATGACCCTTTCCTGGGCCCTAGGAAGCGCGGGTGGCGTAGTTCATGTGATGCTACCCCTGAAACGAGTCTTTCTGGCGATTGGAATTCAGTAGCTCTGCCGGAGAACAATGAGCAGTTTCCTCTTGTACGATTTACAGCCTTTTAAAACTTCTGGAGAGAGCTCTGATGGGTTGGTGGTAAGGAATTGCTTTGCCATCGCGGTTCAGATCCACCAACTGCTCCTGAGGAGAAAGATGGGCAGTTTCCTCCAGTGCGGTTTACTGCCTCAGAAAACCCACTGGAGGGTCAGCTGTGGTCCGGTTCTGACTCCACGATACCAAACGACAACAAGTTCTGCTGGTCACTAGGAATTGATGACAACCAGTTATTTAAAAAGCGAAAGCATGGGGATGGTGTTTTACTTCTTTAATAACCAGAGACTTATTTTTTTAACATCAGTTTTGGGGCAGCGGGACTGGTTCTCGTGGACTGTCATTGCCACCTTTCTGCCCCCGACTTTGATCACGATCTGGATGATGTATTGGAGAAAGCCAAGGAGGCCAATGTTGTGGCCCTTGGGTCAGTTGCTGAACATTCAGGAAAATTTGAAAAGATTATGAAGCTTTCAGAAAGGTACTCTGGATGTATCCTGCCGTGCTTGCGTGTTCACCAAATTCAAGGACTACCAGAAGATCAAAGAAGTGTCATATTAAAGGATTTGGATGATACTTTGCCCATTACTGAGAATTATAAGGATCAGATATTGGCGATTGGAGAGGTCGGGTTAGATTTTTCTCCTCGATTTGCCAATACTGATGAGAAGAAAGAAGAACAAAGACAATTCTAATCAGCCAAAAGACTAAATTTGCCTTTGTAGCTTAGTCAACTTTTTATTTTAATAACTATGGAGCAAATTAAGACATGACCAAAAGAGATCCTCCTGAAAAGGAGCTGTACTTTTCTTTTTCTTCTCTGAATTAATTCAGAACAAAATGACGGTGAAATCCATGAGAGCCAGACTCACTTTGACTGCAGGTCTCCTAAGTTTTCTCATACGTGGGATGTCTGGTGACCCAGTGTAAGGAGCTGCACTGCCAACTTTCTGAAGGCAGGCAGTGTGAATCCATCAGTTGCTCTGCAGGAGAAATACAGGTATTCTCCTGTTCAATCTATTGCCTCTGAACACCTGCTGGAAGGGTCAGCTATGAGTCACTTCTGGCTTAATGGCATAGACAACAGCAGTGTAAGTTTTCTACTTTGGAAAGCATACATACAGTATTGCCACCTTCTTACATCTCTTTATTAGTGAAAGATGTTTGAGTTCTCTTTTCTGACAAATTGTTGCTGTAGATAGGTTCTAGCATCTATAGATTTTACTATAATATTTTCAGACATAAGTACAGGGAATTTTTTTTTTCCAAATCAAAATGTTCACTCACATTCAGCTGGAAGACCCACCATCAACCTCTTAAAAAGAGCAAGGTGCTGACAAGGTGTTGCTGCATGCATTTGACGGCCAGCCGTCTGTAGCCATGGAAGGAGTAAGAGCTGGGTACTTCTTCTCAATTCCTCCTTCAGTCATAAGAAATGGACAGATGTAAGACCTGGTGCAGGTGACATGAGGAATACCACCACGAGCAATTCTTTCTCTCAAATAATGGAAGATATCAATGTACTTATGCCCGCAACTGGGACCCCTCCTGATTCACAACGACTTATCATTGGTTCTTCACTGGGAGGGGGCAGTTTACCTCCATACTGTGCATGTGGATCACCCCCCCCCCCCAACTGAGTGTGCATTTTGGACAGCAGCCACTCCTTCCACAATTTGGAGTAAACCCTGGTTCCTTGGGAAACACAATCAGTTCTTCTTCAGGGACGGATCATCTTGACATGGAAGAAATTGCTTTTAACGCAACGGAACATGGGCCCCCGGCATTTGCAACAATGCCCTTTGAGAGTTCCACAATGGGAGGCCCTGATCCACCATGCTTCTCACATGTACCACCTGTTCAACTCTATGAGCCTGTGGAACATCTTCCAAGATTTGTCCCTGCTTTGCCTCCACGTGGAACTACATCGTTTAGTGTGAAACTTGATTAAGCAACTCCATTGTTTAGTGTGGAACTATATTAAGGACATATACAACTTCGTGTCATCAAATATTTAATTTCATCATTAATTAAATGTGACAATTATGATATTAAAAAAAACAAAAAAAAAACCCATCAGTTTTGAGCTTAGTTTCCTTATCTGAAAAAAAGGAGTGGATTAAAGCTGTAAAGATCTCAGGACAGTATCTGGTACATAGTGCTATTTATGCAGTCAGGGCAGGGAACTTTATATTCTTTCTTAAAGGCTGTTGTAACCATACGAACTGGCAGGGTGGGGGAAATGATATATTCTAATCCAAATATGAATATCCTTCACACCAAGTGGTTTGCTTCTTTAACTGACTGGCGTTCAGAGTATTTGAATGTCTGCTAGACCTCAGTGTGTGAGATCATGAAAGAGTTTTCACTCAGTAAATACTGAGATGCTTTAAAACACCCGCTTGGTAGAGACTTGTCCAGAGGAAGGGCATGAGTTTCTGGCAGATCTATTTTCTGGCCCGGTAATTGCCTGTGTCCACCACACCCTGCCTGCCCAGTTTGTATGGTCGCGGCAATAATCCTTTTCTTGGTTTTTGTTTCTGAACAGATGAATGTGCTGTGGGAGAAGCTTGCAGGGAAAGTACCTAGCACAGTGTTTAGCGCAAGTAGATGCTTAATAAATATCTATTCCATACAATGACAACAACAAAAAAAGTGTGATTATTGATACTGCTAAGACTTTTATACCTAACAGCCCAATAAGCCTTTTACAGGGAGCCCTCTCTGGTTGCTTAGTACATAGGAAATTGCACTACAAAGCAGAGGCGGCATCTGGCTCACCCATTGTCATGCACAACTGCTCCACAGAAGTTAGGCAGTCTCCTACACTATTGGCAGCTCCGAAATACTCAAGGGTGGCGTTTACTCAAGAGTTTGAAACCATTTATTGTGTGTGCCAGTTCTGTACATGCACTAGAGATGAAGAAGAGGTAGATCTGAAGTGTCATCTGATTACACTTTTTGCCTGGGTTTTAAAAATGAAATAGCTTGCCTCCGGAAACCCTATGAACCTGGAGAAAGGATGAAAGTTGTACAAGTGTCCAGATCTTTCATA